AAGAAGTTGCCGAGTCTCACCCAAACCGGTTGCAGAGCAATATCTATCAAACTGCAATTTCAACTTGCCCTCTCTCTCTCTCTCCAAACAGCAGCACAACAGAGCCCTCTTTTGCACTCTATTTTTCAGCAGCATTCGCTAGAGATGACTCTGCAACCCCTTTGGACGAAATGGAGATAGCAGACTCTGCAACCTCTTTGGGCGAAATGGAGAGAGAGTGGGTTGGGCAAAATGGAGAGAGAGAGATATGGCTGCTATTTTCTGCAACCTCTTTGAGCGTTGGAAGAGGGAGGGAGAGAGAGCAAGACAGGGTTGGGGGAAATAGAGAGAGAGAGGGTTGTTGTTTTATGTGAAGAGAGAGAAGAGAAAGAGGGTAACTACTGCTGGGAAAAGAGAGAGAGAGAGAGAGGGCTGGTGTTTTCTGTGAAAGAGAGAAAATAAAGAGGGTAACTACTGCAGCAAGGACAGAGAGATGGCTGCTGTTTTCTCTGAAGAGAGAGAGAAAAGATAAAGAGGGTAAGAGAGAGATATCGTTGCTTTACTTAGATTGTAAGGGTTGGGAGGAATGGACACGTTGTTCCCCATCGAAGAGGATACTAACTTAAACCAATATAGACACCCACAACAGATGAGTGGAGTGGTTGGCGGTGTGGCCTACCGGGCATCATGAGGTTGTTGGTGATTGATTTGTACGCTTTTTATTTTATATAAATTTTAAAATGATCTTCGTAAATTTCTCATTATATGATATCTTCACGCCATCGTCGAATTAGACTTAAATAATCATGACATCATCAAATTTGACTTACAATAGCCATCGTTCGTGACATTATCAAATCCAACTTATTAGGTTATCAAGTGTTTTTTTTTTGAAAAAAACAGTACCAGATCTAAAATAAGTACCGTACGATTTTAAATCAAATCACCGATTTTTAAAACACTAGTTTTTTTTTTATATTTTTTACTCTTTGGCTCTGAGTTCTCCCTCTCATGCACTCTCTCTACCCGTTTCTCTTGCTCTCCCTCTTTGGCGCTCAGTTCTTTCTCGTGCACTCTCTCTCTACCGGTTTCTCTCACTCTCTCTGCATTTGAACTTTTTACTCAGACGCTCATTTCTCCCTCTCATGCACTCTCTCTCTCTACCCGTCTCTCTCTCTCTAAATTTGAACTTTCTCACTCTATCGTTATTGTACTTTAGTGTAATATATGTGGTTGTTCACTTGAACAATCACTTCCCAAATGCACTTAGGGTATGTTTGGTTCGTGTGAAATAGTTTTCATTTAGTAAATTAATTTTTTAGAAAATAAATTTCGTAGATTTATATTTCACATGCTTTTTTTTTCTCGTGTTTGGTAATGCTGTCTAGATTTCTTATGAAATTGTTTTCCTTTGTTTGATAAACGATTGGGGAATATACCATCCTAGAATTTAGAATGTAAGCTATTTTTAACTTTTAATTGTTATTATAGATATTGTTGAGAAGGCCTTGATAATTATCTAAAAAATACGATATTTTGGAAATTACATATCGATAAGATGACTAACAAATTAGTTGACCATTAGATGCAAACATATTTTAATTTGTATTTCTTTTTTCTTCTCCCTCTGAGGGTATCAAACGTTCATATTTTAATTAGTGATGATTTTCTTTCCTCCCTCCATGTTCATTAGGTATTGATATGACTATTATGTGAACTATTAGTTTTAAAATCCCACACTCTCTTTAAAAACTCATCTCTCTTCCTCGCAACTCATTTTCTCTCTAAATCTCTGTCTATATAAAAACCCATTTTCTCGCTAAAAATCCAATATCTCTTTCTCCCACTAAAAACCTATTGTCTCTTTAGAAACCCAATTTTTTTAAAATGTTCATTTATATAACAAAAAGTAATGATCTTATAGGACCCTCCCCCACCCATATGTGTAGGACCCTAAAAGATCGCCATTAAAGTTGGTACGGATCTCTAGAAAAGTTATCACATCAGTGTGGGACTTGACTTTTCTATAGATCCGTACCAAATTTAATGGTGATCCTTTGGAGTCCTACACACATAGGTGGGGGAGGGTCCTATAGGATCATTTCTCTCTATATATAGGTAGTGATC